TTATTTTTGTGGGGGGGGGGGGGGGGGGGGGGTTCTTATTGAAACATCAAAAAATTTAAAATAAAATAAAGAAGAAGAAGGAAGAATAGGGATGCATTCTACGTTGAATTATTCCAGTCCAGAAAGAAAGAAGTTGGAAATATATAGCACAAAAAGGAATCATCTTTCTTATTGCACTTTAAGCGTACAGAAAATTCTAATGTGGTACTGACCTTTTCTATCAATTGCACAAAAATGATATATTTTCTTATTTGATTGATATCAAATGTCCCAATTTTGATGGTATTGCAGGAGTTGGGGGGAAATGCTTGGTGGTTCGATCGGTTCCTTGCTCAACATGTTGCAATATTTTACTATTTTATGACTGCTTTTATGTATGCTTTGAGCCCAAGAATGGCATGTGAGTATGAATTCGTGCTATTACAGCTATATATTTAAAGCTTTAAAAGCTCACTTGCTTTCCTTTATACCCATGTTTCAATATAGGAATTTCTTTTCAATTTCTGGCTCTGTTTCTAACAATCCATTGTAGTTGAAAAGGCAAACATGTCATAATTGTGCAGACTCAAACAAAATGTTGGTCTGCAAGTGGACTATTTAAATGGAAATGTTACTTTAAATTAAAATGTAGTATCACATCTTTTCTGGCAACCTCCCCACTGTGGCGCCCCCCCTCATGTACACCCCTTATGCCAAGTATAAGTGGACTACCTTGTCTTCATTTCTTTTGAATGGATTTATTTTTTTATTTTTTGTCTTGTTTGTTGTCAGTGTTAATCGGCAGAAAAGAATTTCCTCCTGTTCTGCTTTTGCATCAAGCTTCTAAGTTTGTTATATCTTTTCCTAAAAATGAACCAGAGTCTCTTTTTCATTTAGAAAATCACTAGAAGGTTATGTACTATTAAGTAATTTGTGACGTAATAGCTTTCTTCCATTCTGCAGATCATTTCTCTGAATGTGTGGAGACTCATGCATTTGAAACTTATGACAAGTTTATCAAAACTCAAGGAGGTAGTCCCAAATATTTTCGAATCTTCTCTTAGCTTGTGGCATTCTGCATGTCTGCATGTATACTATCACAACTAGGAGATAGCACTATTAACTTACAACTCTATCAATGGCTGTGACTTACATGTATCTCTGATGATCCCAAAGAATTGTTTAAAGATGGAGGAACAAGTAAAAGTAAAAAATTTCTGATATTTCGAGAATGGTTTTCCTGCATCTTTAACGTTCCTCGTTCTTCTTCTGACAAAGAGCAAATGGAAGAAAGAAATAGCTTTCTCTTTATTTTCATGCTGTTAATGGTGGTAATATGTCGTTCTTTGTCCCACCTGCAGAGGAGTTGAAGAAATTGCCTGCACCTACAATTGCGGTTAAATATTACACTGAAGGTGATTTGTACTTATTTGGTAAGTTTTAGTGTTATTGTCCGGGTACACTTTTACGGTGCATTACAGCCTATCAAAATCTAACAATTTTTAGTTGCTTCACCATTTCAGATGAATTTCAAACAGCAAGACTTCCCAATAGTCGACGGCCAAAAATTGGTGAGAATAATATCTTGAATATTTAAAGCTTTGCAATGTTAAGGCATCTTGGGCCATTTAAGGAAACCTAGTGTGAGTTTGTCCAATTGAAATGTTACAGTTTTCTGGCTTCTAAGCTATAACCCCACTTCTTCACAATTCAAGAGTGTAGATATGCAAATTTGAATTTAAATTCCGTAATACCATAGGACATGCTTGTGGACTGAGACAATGCTTAAAAATGTTCCATTTTAATGCCTGCTATAAAATTCTACTGTCTAAAATATTAAGGGAGTGATGTATTTTATTTGGATTTTGTCACTTTTTTCTTTCTTCGTTCTTTTGAGTGCACAGTTGAACTTAGGCAGCAGCCTGCCTCTGAGAATTATTCTACGTGATCAGAAATTTGGCAAGTGTTCCTCAGTACTTTCTTTCTATAGAATTTGTACGACTTTCAACTAGTACTTGTGTCTAAGAGTCGTACAGCCGTGGTACAATTTTGCAGTCAAATTTCTATTTTCCGTGGTTGCATATTGAAAGCATGCTAATAGAAGTTATCTTCTTGTTTGACTGTTTTCTATTCCAGAGAATTTGTACGATGTCTTTATGAACATTAGAGATGATGAAGCAGAGCATTGTAAGACAATGAAAGCCTGTCAGACTCACGGTAGCATCCGCTCCCCTCACTCGTATCCAGAGGATGCACGGGATGATGATTCGGGTTGTATAGTTCCTGAGGCAGACTGTGAAGGCATTGTAGATTGCATAAAGAAATCTGTAAAGGACTCCGGTGCAAAGAAAAAGTGATAAGCATCAAAAAGAGTCGATGAAAATTTTACTGTATTGTAATACCTTTTTTTCCTATAGGAAAATCATCTGTACACATGCATGTATAGCCAAAAAAAATTGCACTTTCTTGGCCTGAAAGAATATAGTTATACCTGAAATGTAATTCTTAAATCCTCGTACTTCAATTTTGTGAGAGGATTTACCTCTTCAATAATTGTATGCAATGAGCAGTCCCATCTTACACACAACATCAATTGTGATGGAGTTAATTAAGCCCTTGTTCGATTCCCATTAAATTAAATTACATTACATTCCATTTTTCTCTCTTCTATTTTCAACCACACAATCTTCCATAAAATAATATTGCACGTAAATCGACAATTTTTCTTTCTTTTTCAATCACTCATTTTTCTAAAAAAATAATATTTCTCCCATTTTCATTTTCAAGTAATGGGAATCAAATAGGGGCTAAATTATTTTTTGATCATCCTGAAGTCGGAGGATTTTCTTAATTTAGTGTCCCACGATTAGTTTTTTCTTTCGGCAAATTGAGAGAAATGGTGACTGAAGTCATTATTGCTCTTTGATGAACTCATTATGGTCCCTCATTTTCTAGAATGAAAAATGCTGGAGTGACTTAAAATTTTTGCCAGAAAAGGTGAGAGTCAGTCACATGCTGTGGGTCCGTAGATGTAAAAAAAAAAAATATTTTTTCCTCCTTTTTTGTTACGGCCTCTGTCAGACATGTTATTGTAGCAAATCCCTCTAGAATACTGAACACGGGCATATGTTTGAAATTAATTGATACTTTGAAATTATTGAGGATATATGTTGTTTGAAATTAATTGATACTTTGAAATTATTGAGGATATATGTCTCGGTAAATAGGGTGGACGAAGGTTGGGCTAAGCAATCGATAGGGGCTCGATGGGAGGGAGATAACCTCCCAATAAATCCAGCTCTATAATTTGAATTGTTTGCTAATACAACTACCTCCGTGCACTGAGGCAACCATATTAAAGCATTTTTGAAGAGTGTTAAATTAATAATTTTGCGAATAAAAAGCAATTTGACATATAACCATGACCGAAACATATGCTTGATTTTATTCACATTTTCTTTGATTGAGGGAGGAAGGAAGGTGATTCCATTTAAGAACCCCAACTTGAGGTAAGATTCTTTGACTTTACTCGGGAAATTTTGGCTATTGTTCTTGGTTTATGGGCATTAGTGATATTAAACTCATATATACGATATGTGTTTAAAGTTCCGAAACATGTATTTGAAATGGGTTTCATGTTTTGGTTTCGATGTGTTGTAAATATAGGAGGGATGAAGAAGAAACAAAAATGAAATTCACAAAAAGTATGGCAACAATAGGAACAAAACCAAAAAATTGTAACAACAAATGTGAAGGTTTGAACGCAGGATTGCTGTCCTTAAACGTTATTTGTCCTCTCTCCAGTGTTTATGAGATGTTTAAGGGTATTCCGGCAAATGGTTTGAAGGATTGTAACAAGCCTTGTAAAGAATTTCACCAAAGCACAAAGTGAAATTCTTCCAAAACTTGAAAAAAACGAAGATAGAATGAATATGAATGTAAACCAGGACTTGATTGTTTTTGGAACAAAGTATGGATTGTAAGATGTTTTCAATCTTTGTAATGTATTTGTTTTGATCATTCATCACCTATTTATAGGCCTCAATTAATACATCACGAAATGGTGCCAAAACAAAATGAAAAGTGGCAACTTTTAATCTAAAACGGCTCCCAAGTTTCAAATTGAAAAACCAGTCAACGGCTATTTTTTTAACATTATGCGTACGCATAGTATAAACCTTGCGTACGCATAGTAGAAGCAAATTTAATTCTGATTTTGCCAAAACACATCTCGTGTAAGCACAAAATTAAGCTACGCACAGGCCAAAAAATCAAATTTTGTATTTTTCAATTTCTTTTGATTCTAGTAATTCCACAATTGAGTCCAACAATTAGTCCATTATCATTCCATTGATTTTGTCTTTAAATGACTTGAATTAATTGATTTTTAAGTGTGTGGTTTCCATGCCTTGAAGGTCTGGATTATGTTTTGGGTTTGAAATGTAAAAGGGGAAGAAGAAAATATGAAGTCGGTGTGAACAATAACGTGCTACTGTTCACAGTGGCCGTTCGCCGGAAAAAAATGATTTTCATGGATTTCATCCTCAGAGTTATTGTAATGGAAAATATGCACTATGCTGGAAATATTAAGTCTACAGAACGAGGTTTTAGTGTTGGATAATCCTATGTGAAGGGGCTAATAATGATAAACAATTTCAAGTTGAAATTTTTGAAGTCAAAATTGAAGATGCAAACTTCTGCAAGTTCAATCTGTTCCTAATAATAGGAGAAAATGAGATATCCGGTACCAATGCGAATGGACAATGGACCTCCCAAGTCTCAAACACATTTGTTCGGGTTGCATGTGAGGTAAGCAAAGCTTCATAAACACTTAAAATGCGCGAAGATATTTGATATTTATTAAACAGCATGCATTATATAATTTAAATACCGAGTTTGTGTAAATTGATTTATCATTTGTAAATGTTTTAACTTCATTTTAAACTAAAAACAAGGACTATTCACTTATTCACCACTCATTTCTATTAATTTATAAATTAAACTTATTAAGAATTCTTCCCAATTGTGAAGACCTGAGCATTTTGAAGAAAATTCTTAAACGAATACACCAAAATACTTCAAACTTTGTTTTATCGAAGAAAATACTGCTTTTCTTTTCTTGGAAAACTTGATAGGAAAATAGTCTACCTTGGTAAGAGATACACTGTGAGACTTATTCTTTTTACATCATTTAGTTTAGTGAAGGCATAAATCAAATAGGATAAAAACCTTGTGCATATAGTATTTGGAGTTTTTTTCAACATAACTTTTAGTATTTTATTTGTTATTTCCTACTTAAATTAGACTTTGATTACTGAATAAAAATGCATTTCCCTCTCTCCCAATTCTCTCCTCTCTCTTCTTCCCTTTCTCCTCCTTTCTTATGTCTTCTCCCTTCTGGTTCTTCATTTTGCGTCATTAGGATTATAATACATGAAAATTGCTTGATCCTTCCGTTGAGTTTTAATTTAATCATGCTAAAAATCAAGAATCACCAAAATTAAATTAATAAAATGAATTCATACCAGCGGAAGCCATTGTTGATATGAATAATAGTTGTAATAGCAGCCAAGATCTTCCTTTCCTTACTCCTCACAAAGTATTAGCTATCAATGGGGCAAGCCAATAAAACATATAGGGAGGAAAGGGGACCTAACCTTTATAAATAGGAGATAATTTGAGTCGTCACATTTACGACTAGAATTCTAATTAGGGTCTTATTCTCGGCTCATATACTTAAAATTACCACATCATATTAATTATAACCCGTAAGGTGTAAAATGCCCAATTGATCACTTAATAAATTTGGTCCAATCACAAATATCATTATGAGCCATACATCTAACCCGTAAAATTTGCAATCGAATGTGAAGCCCACATATGGAATTATTCCAATATTCTCCCACTTGGACAAACATTTGATTGCTATAAAAAAGTTTTAACACCCGGGTTAGAATAAATAGGTGGCCACAAAGCTCCAATGATAACACCTTAAGTAACATGATCCGGTCCAACAAGAACATTAACACCAAACATGGAAGTCGTTACAGCAATTAAGCGATGTAAGATCATTCCACAGCTACAAATGTCAACATCCTTATCGACATGGATCGCCATCCTCCAACCAATGTGGTAGTATGTGGTATGAACTTAGCTCCAAATGTGATAAAAAAAAATTGTGCTAATTCATATCGATCCTCATAATGCTTTTGATCAAAATGAAGCCACATGTCTTCAAAAAAAGACTTATCTTATGTCTTTATATGTCATATCTCGAGATCACAGTAATATTATAAAAAGACATAAGTCAAATGCATGCTCAAAATAGTTCATGGAAAGGGGAAAAAATATCAAAATTTTCCACAATGCTCATATTAACAACATGTGTTTTAAAAACTTTTGAAGCGAGTCCCTTAGTCAAAGGGTCTGCAATCATTACCTCTGTATTGATATGCTCTATTTTCGTCTGCCCATCCTTGACTCTATCTCTAACCACCAAATATTTGATCTCAATATGCTTTGACCCACCAGAACTTTTATTATTCTTTGAAAAGAATACTGCTGCACTGTTATCACAGTAGATGGTGATCAGTCTTGAGATGGAATCAACAACTTTCAAGCCAGAAATAAAATTTCTTAACCAAACGGCTTGAACTGTAGCCCCATAACATGCCACAAATTCAACTTAAATAAAAGAAGATGCCACTAGAGTTTGTTTAGTACTTTTCCAAGAAATAGCATCACAACCAATGTAAAAATATAACCTGAGGTTGATTTCAAATCATCTTGACATCTAGCAAAATTAGAATCTGAATATTCTACCACCTTAAGATGATTTGTACGCTGAAATGTAAGCATATAACTTTCAGTTTTCTTCAAATATCTCATAACTTTCTTAGCTGCTTTCCAATGCTCTTGTCTTGAATTAGACTGAAATCTGCTAAGGACACTTACTGCATAGGTTATATCTGGTCTAGTGCAAACTTGAGCATACATTAAGCTCTCCACATCACTAGCATATGGGATCATCTTCATAGACTCCCTTTCCAGCTCATTCCTTGGATATTGAGTTTTGTTAAATTTATCTCCTTTTATGATAGGTACATCTCCAGGTGCACAGTGTATAGTAAACATTTCTAGAACACGTCGTATATAAGCTTTCTGAGAGAGTTTCAATAAGCCACGATTTCTATCATGATGTATTTCAATACTAAGTACATAGGAAGCTTATCCAAGATCTTTCATCTCAAAATTAGCAGATAACATTTTCTTTATCTCATGAAGCAACCCTAAGTTACTGTTAGCAAGCAGAATGTCATCAACATACAGTACAAGGAAAATAAAATTCCTCCCATTAGTTTTAAGATAAATGCATCGATCAATAGTATTTTCGACAAAATCAAGAGAGGTCACAATCTCATCAAATTTCAAATACCACTGTCGAGATGCTTGCTTGAGACCATATAATAATTTGTTGAACTTACACAGTAAGTTTTCTTTTCCTTTCACAACAAAACCTTCAAATTGTTTCATATAAACCATTTCAAAAAGATCTCCATTCAAAAATGCTATCTTAACATCCATTTGATGAAACTCCAAATTGTAGTGTACC